GCTCTGCTCGGGCTTTTGTTCCCGCTTGCTCAGTCCTGGCTTCTGCGGTCCCTGCTACAAATCCTGCTCCTGTACTAAGGTCTTCCCGACCTTGAGCGCAGCTCTGGCTGCTGCCCTGCTGTTACGGCAGCATATCCCCCGCCCCCTCGAGCCCCTGCTCTCAGCCTGCCTTGGCTAAAGCACCTGGCTCCTCGCTCTGCCGCTGGCTCCAGCGTGCTCGATGACAGGATGTCTGCAAGGCGGTCACTGGGCTGCAGAGCCAGGAGCAGCTCAGGTATCTACTCATGGAAGAGTGCTGCTAGGTAAAGTCCTTGCTCTGACCAAAGCAGGGCAGCAGCTTTCCAAAAGCAAAATCATGTCACTTTTAGATGAGACACAGCATGCTACCGGTGCAGAATGACATGTCAGAGCAGAGGAAAGGGCCAGAGAGGAAAACTCCGCTGCCAGAGCTCACACTCCAGGAGTGAGGAGGCGTATGGGTGAAATCAGGGCCACACACTGGGCTTCCTCAAACAAACAGGGCTGCAAAATCAGCCTTGCAACCCAACCTTCCGCTCTTTGCTCTCATAGCGACCTCTTCCACCTCGCATGGATCTATTCCTTCTTCAGACCTTACCCCGAGCTACAGACCACTTGCGTAGGGAAGAAGAAACAGGAACACGTCGTGGGAAAGAACATGAAAGCAAGCAGGGTAAAACAGCAGTGACAGTACGTGAGGAAAGGACAAGAGGTGGCCACAAATCAGTCCACCTTGCATGCAGCTGCAAGCAAGCGACTGGCTTTGGTACCCTAACACAGGAGCAGAGTCTGTGCAAGGGGAAGCGACAGGCACGCTCACCATCACTTATTGACCCAAATTATCCCCAAGGCTGAAATGTAGGTGCCTGCTGGAAAACCTCTTCCAGTCCCTCCAGACAGACATTAGGACATACCACTCCTCCGGTTTGGGGTACACGGTGTGCCTCAGCGCGTTGTCTGGGTCGTACTCGAAGGCTACGCCTGCCGTGGGGTTCCACTTGGCGTGCTCCTTGCCAAAGCCCTTCTTGGCATAGGCTCGCAGTCTCAGCTCCTGGCCCTTCCGCAGCTTCACAATGAGGATGTCTGCGGAAAAGCACACGCCCGTTTGAGAAGGATGCAGGGGAGAAATGAGCGTGCAGATCACACGAGGGTGAAAAGCAGGAATTTTTAGTGCCCAGGAAGACGTCACCAGAAGCCAGGGCTCGCTTGGATTCTTAGAGGGGCTCATCTGTGTCCCCAGAGCAGCTGGGAAACATCTTGCTGAGTAAAAAGGAGTTGCACATATGCCCAAAGGCACAGCTCAGGCCCCCAGGCAACAGCAGACAGCAAAGCATTTTGCATCTTTGCTGTCTCTAAGCTCTCACAAGGAGAGAGAGGAGCACCCTCTGACACAGGACTTAGCTCTGGGGATAACCTTTAAGCGGCATTAAGACAAAATGCTAACCCCACTGATGCAGTGATGCCGGTGTCTCTCGACTGCCAGCTTCACAGCTGCCTTACAGTTACACAGCTAGTAAAGGGAGAATGAGTTCAAAGAGCCTGAAAGAAAACTTCATTCCCTCCTCCAGCTCTTACTCCCAGTGAAACGCCGCTTACCATCCTGCTCCACATAGTCGTTGGGGTCGTTGTCTCTGCTCCGAGATGTTACCTGCAGAAGGAGAACAAAAGCAAGCAAATTAATGGCAAGATCAACTTTTCTCCCCACATCCGCTAGCGGTTGCCTACAAAAATTACAGACTGCAGAGAGCCACTCTAGAGTGACTTACAGCAACAAATCCAGCCCACCCTATTTAACAGAAATCGGGACAGTTCAGGCAGCTGCAGCTAGGTACGCGATAACCCACTCCACCGGCCTGCTGGCCTCCCGAGCCGCTCTCCCCCCCAGCCCAGCCCAGCCCAGTGCTGCTGCGTGGTTCTGCGACGCAGCCCACAGTCACTCCCACGACTGCTGGCAGGTGACACACAGCACTGACAGCACCTCAGCCGAAGCAAGCAAGAAACAGCGGGCTACAGCTAGGCTTTAACCAGGCAGACACTGTCACCAGCCACCAGAAGCAGCCCCCAGGTTGTGGCGACATCCGGATGCGGCCTCAATAGCATTTTAAAACGTCCTCCATTAAGTCCCTTTGCATCTGTTCTGCTTTGGCTCCGCCAACCCTCCCCAAGGCGGCTGGGCAAGAGCCGTTTGGCCCGGGCTCCTCACACCTTGCTGCGCTAGAGAGCCAAGAACCAGAAAACCAGAGGCCTCTGGCTTGCTGCCAAGCCTTCGAAGAGGCTGACCTTGCCCAAGCCCCGGCAGCAAGCGGGCAGGAGAACGCAGTGACGCGGCAGCAGGACACAAGCGCACACGTGCCGAGCGTTCCGAGGCGAGGTGGAGGGGCTACACTAAAGGCTCCCAAGAGGTTGAGACGAGGGATGCCGGATGAGGCTTTAACAAGGCCATACTGCTTTGACACGCCATCAGACGGCAAGCGAAGGACAACAAGCGAAGAAGAGGAGGGCATTGGCACACACTGCTGTTTCTGCAGATACTCCTGCTTCGCTCTCCCACTGCGTTTTAAGCGGGGCTTTAGGCAACACGAAAGGTGCTCGAAGGCCTTGTTTTGTCCACGCCCCATGTGTTTGCTACCCTGGCCTCAACGGGAACGTAGAGAGGGGACTCGCCGACAAGCAGAGGGATCGCACTGACCGGTATGACCCGGGGGTTGTTGGAGATGAGATCGCGGGATGTGACGTGACGAGTCTGGTCTTCATTGCACCGGACGTCAAGGGTGAACTCCACAGAGCACTCCGGACAGAACTCATCGCACGTGCAGTCCTGGGACAGACACAGGTCAAGACCTTTACGCCAAACCTCTCCCAGCAAGAAATTAGTAGCACTTCCCACCAGATCAGACACCCACCACCATCAAAATAAGCACCCACGACATTTTGCTTGACTCACTCTGGAATATTGCATCTTATCCACAATGTCATCGCTGGTGAGCGGGATGAGACCTGCGGGAAGAAGGAAATCGGGGGAATGTCTGAGTGAGACCACGGGAGCACCGACCCTCCTGCCGAGACGGGCAGAGGAACAGCAGCCTCCTGACAAAGGGTGCTTCAGCGTCTCCGGACTGATTCCGCCCACGACCGCTGCCTTGCTGCACGTCTTCGTCTTCCTCCCCGTGCCCGGCACTCACCCAGCCTGTGTGCAATGAATTCATCATGGAGCACGGAGGAGTTGGCATCTATCTGGACCCAGTCGATGGCTGCAGAGGGGAAAAAAAAGTCACAAGCTGAGAAATATTCCTGCGGGGAAAAGCCGAGCAGTTCGCCAGGGCGCAGGAAACGTTACAGAGACTACAGCGAAGCTGAGACGGCATCTGGTAAGACATAGTACTGGCTGAACACGGGTAAGGTGAGCTGAGGGCAGCTTGGAGACGGAGGGGAAAACGGAGGGGAAGCGACGAGAGCAGCGGGGACGGCAGCCCGAGGACCGTGACCGCAGGCAAGCGCAAGGCGGTACCTATGATGGGCACTTCCGCGATGAACACTCTCCGGATGGAATTCGCCACCCTGAGGGAGAGAAACACCCGTGTTTAGGCGTGAGGGAGCGCGGAGCTCCGCGACGCACCGGCCTGCCCGCGGGGACGCCGGCCGCGGCCGAGGGCCGGCCTTTGCCTCGGAGGCCCTGACCGGGCCCG